GTGCGAAAAGTAGAACACGTGTCGTCGGCTAGCTGCAGCAGAGATGAGGAATATGAAGGTAACAGAGGAAAATTGTGAACTGCAATTTTTCCAGTCTTGGCCGATTTTAGACTTTGCGGCTGTTCATCTCGCGTTGACACGTGCGGTTTCATCGGTCTGCCGAGTTGCTGACAACTATCGTCCTCAGATTGTGTGACTCTGGAGATGATGCAGGGATAGAAGTTGATAACACAGATTATGCAAATCATCACTCGACGGTACTTACGGCGAGGTTGGTAGTCGCAAATGGCGTAGAGTCAGCTGAACTACGTGGATGTGCTACCGTCGAGAGCGGTAATCCATTCATGCCTGTACCAGTATAGACTGAAACTGAGTTGAACTTGCTTTTCAGTCCAGAGTGGCAATGCATGGCTTTTGCCGTACTGTGCACTGCTGCCCAAGCCAGAGCCTATGTCAAAACTTCGGTGTAAATTTAAATATGAAAATAACAGTGCCGATGCAAAGTCTTAAGCTTAGGCTTAGTAGTAACCCAGTAAAACCACACAATATTGCTAGCTTGCACTGAATCGCCAATCAGTTTCAGTGCGTACCGATAATGATGGATTATCACTCTAAACGGTAACGTATGTACTTTGCAGGTGGTTTGCATTGCTTGCGAATCTTAGTAAGTAGCCATATATAAATAGTAATTTGTAGACTGATACGGCTATGTAATATCTTCGGATTTACGTTCACATTGAGTTTGATCAGGCTAGTTGCTACTCTTCTGTAACTCGATTCCGTTCCACAAGAAAGTGGCAAATGTTGCATCCGGGAACGTCCTAGAACACTGAAGCTTTGTACAAAAAATATGATCGCATTTGGAGCAACCGCAATATGTAGGACTCCATGAGGTGAAGTTCCCCAAGACCCTGATCTTGTTTGCAGTAGGCTGTGACTGAAAAGGTTGATTGTCTAAGACAAAGATATTCCTGGGGGGAGGGTCGCGAAATCACGGAATATATGTTGCAACAACCCGACAAGCAACTTTCACCAGCCAATCAAAAGCATAGCGACGATAAAATTACAATATTTTTAGGCGTTATGAGAATAAGGGTACCTCCTGTAGAATGTACAACTGGGCGTCGTACTCATGGCAAGCTGATCTCATCATTTCTCACGTACAGCCTGCCGTGCTGGAGCGAAGGTCGGTCTCTTATTTAACTTTCGAAAGGCAGAAGTCACGAAGAAGCAAAGTGGCGAAGTACATTCTCAGATCGAACTCGAAACCGAATATAGTAACAAGTATATAAAGACAACTGTATGTCGATTGCGTGTTTTGTAACGGCAGAATCTGACATATAGCATCAAGTAGGAGGAAAACACAAAGACGG